ACATACAGACATATACACACATACATGCACACATACACACACATACATACATACATACATACATACATACATATACATACATACATACCTATACACATACACATACATACATACGTACATACATGCATACATACATACATGCATGCATACATACCTACCTACATACATATATATACAAACATATACACACATACATGCATGCATATACACACACATACATACATACATGCATATGCATACAAGCAATACATGCATACATACATATACTCATATATATATATATCTACGTACACACGTGCATACATACGCTCATATATATATATATCTATACAATGACATAAACTTTTTTCACATATCCACATGCACGTACGAACGTACACAAATGTACCAAACAAGTGTATATACAGATGTCTTTTTGGGCTTGGGGAGCCCTGATTTATAGAGTGCAAAAGATCGCCATGCCGGTGCATTTCAGTGCTTTGTTCGTGCCCCCGTAACCCACTTAGCCTACTTAGCCATGCAGCCCCGAACCCACTTAGCCCACTTAGCCTAAGTCCGATTTTCGACTTAGCGTAATCGGCCTAACTGGGTTAGCCAAGCGCCCTAACTGAGTTAGTTTTGGGGCCCACGAACGCCTGTACTAACTCCAATAACTGAGTTCTGTGGCTTGCTTATAAGTCCGACATAAGTGTTGCAAGTAAATATCAAGTGTGCCAAGTAAATATAACCACGCCGATCCTCCAAGTAGCTCACCAGCACTTGCACTACCACTACCACCACCACTGTTGTTGTTTTCAGATTGTTGTGCGTGTTAGGGCTTGGATGATGCAAACACGTCAGGGGCGGTAATCTGGGGGACTCACTTGTTGGATGGTGGAACAGGGTCAAAATTGGGAAGCAAAGTCTTCGCACTCGGTTGGGCTGCAGTGAGAGTCTCAGATATTGGTATACTTTAAAAAAACGTTGGGCAGTGTTTGGAAGTGGGTAGTGGGCGGTGCCAAAGCGTAATTTGCCGCAGAAAGACCTTTGGCCTGTTCCTGTCGTGCGTCGGCTCGGTGGCCCGGCTGGCCACAGAAGCGGCAACAGTGCCGCTTGCGTGCCATGGCAGCGGCCATGCGGTGCTCTGCGCTGTGCTATTGGCACAGCTTGTAGCAAATATGCCAATGCACCCACACCTGGTCGAACATCACGTCTCCAAACCCCCACCCCACCCCCATGCCCTGCCCATCCACCCCATCCACAAGCAGACGTCCGATCCACGCTCAGAAAAGGCCGCGTTGTGGCGTAGTGTACCATTAAGTATTATTAGTGTCAACACGGCTGAGTTTTGGTCGTTTTGGTCGTAATGCTTATTCAGGGGGGTTTAGGACCGGTCATTTTGGCCGTTTTGATCGACCGCAGCAGCCACAGTACCACCAATAACAAAAGCATCATCACCATTATTATCACCATCATCATCACCATCATCATCATAATGTACTTCATCTTCATCTTCATCATCATCATGATCATCATTATCGTCATTGTCATCGTCATCGTCATCACCAACCACAGCAGCAGCAACAATAAGAAGACAAACAACGTACAGGTTTGACTAGTGCTAAGCAAGGATTGATCATGGGTAACGCATACCCGCTGCTTACATCATTCGGAATCAGGCCTAAGCCCTAAACCCTAAACCCTAACCATTGCATGGTTGCTCCTTCAGGTCGGCCCTTCACTTTCGGCATGTCTGTTCGTCCGAGTCAGCCCTTCACGGCAGAATGTCGTGTTTGAAAGGCATTGCATGCTGGTGGTTTCAAGTGAGCCCCGTTTACCACAAATTACAAGGTTGGCAAAATGAATCTGGTTTTTAACAGGCCTTACAGGGTTGCTCCTGCAAGTGCGGAGGGGAGTCATTGCATTGGAGTGTTCTTGTTAGTGTTTTGCTTGTTGACGTTGTCGTTGTTGTCGTTGTTGTTGTTGTTGCTGTTGCTGTAGCTGTTGCTGCAGGTGTTGTTGCTGTTGTTGTTGTTGTTGTTGTTGTTGATGATGCTGATGTTGATGTTGATGTTGATGTTGATGTTGTCGTTGTTGTTGTTGTTGTTGTTGGTTGTTGTTGCTGTTGCTGCAGTTGTTGTTGCTGTTGTTGTTGTTGTTGGTTGTTGTTGTTGCTGTTGCTGTTGCTGCAGTTGTTGTTGCTGTTGTTGTTGCTGTTGCTGTTGCTGCAGTTGTTGTTGCTGTTGTTGTTGTTGTTGTTGTTGTTGATGAGGTTGTGGTTGTTGTCATTATTGTTCCGGTTCTTGCGATCTTCTTCTTGCAGGTTCGCGTGGCACTAACTTTTCCTCTGAGGTGCCTCGAATCTTCCACGAGCACGTTGTCCTTTGCTTTCTCCACGATCGGCTCTAACTCGTCCTGGGTGCCGGCCCATTCCCACTGGGCGAAGCGGCTCCGTGCTTCTGCGCCAGGACAAACGGAACTCGGTGTCGGGGAAGCCCACTTCCGCTTTCTGCCGGGTGGCTTGTGCCCCTTCTCTTTCATCATCGATTGTGGCGTTTTGCCAGTGTTAGATCTTACTAGTATCGAAGCGGAATG